ACCCGCTCCCTGACCCAACCCCCTTGGGCCGATGCACCCTCCCCCTAAATATGATGCCTGCCGCCCTCGACTGGTAATGACGGCGGGAGGCCCTGCCGTGCGTCCTGAGGCAGGGGGAGCACTCGAGGACGGGAACTAGTACTCTCACGCCGCTCGGCTGTGGGGAGCACTCGGGGATAGGAACTCGTACTCTCACACCGCTCGGCTGTGGGGAGCTCTCGAGGACAGGAACTAGTACTCTCACACCACTTTGGCGTTGAGGACGTTCGCCGGTTCACCAACGGAGAACTTTGTGCCGCAACCAAGAAGAGGGCAACTCACCCAGAAAAATCATCTCTCAAGACACGAAAGACGCTCTCGTCTTGATGACAGTTGTGCTATTGAAAAAAGAATTTTCGTATTGATCCAAGACCATCCAGTGCGTGGACCAAACAAGTTCTCACCCTAGAAAAAAAGTTCTAATTTTAACAACATATGCGTCACCTTACAGGGTCACGGTCGGTAATGACATTTTGAGTGGGGTATGCCTACAACAGAGCCGAGAGAGTTCAAAAAAAGATCTTGCCCTCTCGCACCTTTTTTGATGGTTTTTTGTTCTAGCCGGGCCGCTTCACACAGCTGCTGGGCGGGTCGGCCTACCCAGCGCGCAGCAGGCGCTGTTATGAGTATCGCCTGCGCCGCCAGCCCCGTCAAACATTCACGGTGACACCCCTCCCCTCGGCACAACCCAGAAATGTGTGTTTTAACATAACTGGCCGAGCGCTGCTTGCGAGCAGGGCAGCTGCGGTGGGGAGCCTCAGTAAAGGTCGGAGGTCAGAGTGCATCTCACCTGCTGGAAGTCGTTAACTGCTCGGAGAGATTAGCTCAGCTGGCTAAAGCCCGGCGCGTTGCACCCCCCCTCCCCCCGCCCCTGCGCGTTCCTCCCTCGCGCCCCCTCGTGTCCTTGGAGAGCAGGCCTCGGCGGGCCGCCTTCGGGGTCAAACTCTGCGCTCCGCCTAGCGCCGCGTGCATCACGTTTGTGGACGCCCCCTCCGAATACGTTCCGGAAGAACGCCATCGATATCACGGCACACTACAATATATTGACGGACAGCTGTGCGTGGCGTGCGTCTCGAGTTACGCGCCGTCGCCCTCGCTCTCACAACTCACGCGTGACACGCTATAACGTGTGCGACTGCAGCAACCCCCATACGCACACGCACGCCTCAGCGAGAGACGGGGGAGGGAGATCGCCCTCCGTACCCTCCTCAGATTGCTCAGACCCAATTACCATCAGCCAGTTAGTTAGCTATGCGATGACTTGCGTTAAAGCTATTAAGCCCGTCTGTTGACAGGTGCCAGCCAGCCACCCGCCCGCCCCCCTAACCCCGCTCTGCTTGTCGCCTACTTAATACCCCCCCCCCTCTCTGCTACCCCATCGCGAGAATAGCGCGAATGACAAGAATGACGTGTCTGACCGTCTGATTAATGTGTCGCAACTCGTGTTCTTTCAAGGAAATGGATCGCCAACGAACCTTTTCTACGCTCGCGTCGTGTTTTATTATTTTTTGTTTTCTTAGGATACATGCGCTCGAGAACGAGAAGAAGAAGTTGGAGTAGTTGTAATAGTTCCGATCACAGTGGTTCATAATTTCCCGCCACCTGACTTTGGAGCGCTGGGAGCGCCATCTTCCGGACATTCGTTGCAGCAATACGCGGCCGCTTCGACCGTGCGTAGCAGGAACGTACCCATCATTTGTGGTCAGGCCGGAAGTCGAGAAAGGACTCGCAGTACAGTAAAATTTTGCCAGCTAGCTGTTTGTCTTGGGGAGTTGCTGGCTGTTATTATTTTTCTCGCACAGTTTGGCGACGCGGGCCCGGCATTGCGGTGTCTTTTAAACGTTTGTGTTTTCAATATTGTATAGCTCACAATGGGCCGCAAGAAGAAGAAGCAATCGAAACCCTGGTGCTGGTATCCTTTCGTTTTGGAGATGGCTGACTTTCTGAATTCCGCTTGTCTTTTTTTCAACCGTACTATAATTTATGTTATGATACGGTCAAACATTTGTCGTACTTTATTGGCTGTTGAAAAATTTGAGAATAATGTAGTTTTTAAATAGTTGGTTTTGGCATCTAAATAATATAAAATGTCACTTCGTAAGTATTGATCCAAGTAGCCTAAAAGGAAGGTCCTAGGTCCCTCTGTGGACGCCCATTTCAATGTTGAAATATTGACTTGAAAGAGCTCTGTATTTTATGATGTGGCTCCTCTAGATTCTTGCCCTTATATTGATTCTTATTAAATTTTATTGTTTAACTGGGACGTTGGATTTTCAGAATTCATATAACCTCTCTCGCTCTTTACTCATATTTTTAAGAAATCAGCTCTCAGACTTCTGTTTATTTCCATTTCTCCTGTTAAGTTCCTTAACATTCATTGAAGGTACTGCAACAGAGAATTTGATGATGAAAAAATTCTCATTCAGCACCAAAAAGCCAAACATTTTAAATGTCATATTTGCCACAAGAGATTATATACAGGTCCTGGCCTCTCAATCCATTGCCTTCAGGTACAGTCTTATATTTGTTAATCTTAACCTTTGCTGTGTAAGCATCAAGCATCTTGATAACTGAATGTTATTTTACAGGTTCACAAAGAGGCAATTGATAAAGTACCTAATTCATTACCTAATAGATGTAACATAGAAATTGAAATATATGGAATGGAGGGTATACCACCAGAAGATGTGAAGGAACATGAAAAGCAGAAACAGGGGAAGCAAGGACAAGGTACAATTTGAAGAATTTAGCGTACATTTTATTAATCCCTTTGATTTTGTACTGATTTTGGTTTCTTGCAATTCGTAGCAGGTAGACCACAGTCTCCAAGTAGTGGCGAAGACGAACCTGCTCAAAAGAAACCTAAATCTGAAGGGCTTCTTGGAAATGGGCCTGCTCCTGGAATGTTACCTCATGGACAGATGATGCCAGGTCAAGGTCCTCCTGGCATGCAGTTTCAAGGGCAATTTACACCAGGACAGTATGGGCACATGGGTCATATGGGACACATGGGGCCCATGATGGGCCCTCCGTTTATGGCACAAGGGTAATTTTCGTCTCCCTCTTGAATGCCCATTATATCATCTTTGATGTGGCAATCTAATTATAACTCTGTAGGGTAGGTCAAAGTCTCACGTCTGAAACACAGTTTTTCTTCCAGAATGATGGGTCCTGTAGGCCAAATGCCCGGGATGACACCTGGTCAACAACCTGGTCAGCCAAATGCACAAACACCAGGGAAGCCGTTGTTCCCTAGTGCTGCAAATATCGTACGTTTTGCTCTCAAGACTAATATCAGTTAATTCCGTGTTATAAATAAGTTAATAGTTTTTGTGTTCAGGCAACAACAGGCACGTCAACACCTGTTGGAGCAGACTTCAAACCAATTGTAACAACAGCACAAAACAATGCTGGAGCCATAGGACCTGTGAAACCCACTTTCCCAGCCTATGGGTAAATAACATTCCTTGTCTCTCTATACTACTTTTTTGTTTTGTTATAGCAATAGCATAATTCTTTAAAATTATTTTTCAGTGATTCTAAGGAGAATAAGAGCACAAATGATGCTAAAGATGCTCCCAAAGTTGCCCTAATTAACACAGCCACTTCAACAAGTAAAATTATGCACCCACCAGAAGATATATCATTGGTGAGTAAGAAAAGCAGTTTTGATCTATTCTAATGAAAGTGTTTGCAAGTTATGTCAGATTGAGTCCCTCTAACTCCATGTGGTGCGTTACATATGTAGAGATCTTTTAGGCAATCTGCCCGGTACATCTCCTGGACAATGTGGATGTAGCCGCAACTTCAGGTTGGCCGTAAATGTTTTTTGTTGGATGGCCACATTGCAGCTTTTTATCATTTTCAATTTAAACATTTCACCCCATTTTATTAATACTTAAATAAATATGTAGATGGTGTTTGTGAAGACACAATCTAATGGAGTGGAAGCAAGCATCTTTTGCTTAGCTTTCTTATTTGCAAATGTACATTTGCCTGTGATACACTTAAAGCTAGGCTGTGGCACTTAAAATTCAGGCCCTTGAAGGCCAGCATATATTTTTTAGTATTTTTTTTAATTTTAATAATCTGAACTTATTGACAGTTTGTGTGACAAGTTCAGTTTGTTTGAATTAGGGTGTATAGGTACAAATTTGACGAAGATCTGTTCAAAGTGTTTGATGCTGAGAAGAGATTCAACACTGCCTCTGCCATGGCATCCCGTGGAAACCTATTAAAGCTTTTTTTATGCAGCAGTGTGTATGAAACACTTGTAGCTGTAACTGGTCTAATTGTGTGGTTATTTTGGTGTTCAAGCAGTTTCATCATTTTCTGTGCGCTTGCATGAGCATCCTTATAAACCCTTCAATTTCTATTCCTTTTACTGCAAATTTAATGATCCAGTTTCTACTGTGCTCTATTTGCCAATTAGATGTAGGGTTAGTTTTAGGCTTAGTCCAAACTTGATTTTTTGTTTTGGCACTTGGTAATAACTTTGTCCTGTGGCTTTGCTATTTTTAGGAGGAGTTCCGAGCGAAACTTCCTAAATACTCCAAATCACCAGTTAAGTCAGAACCCTCAACCACAGTACCTGCTCAGTCCCCTGTACAAAGTCAAGCAAGTGAGGTAAGGCTATTAATTCTACTCTTTTTGTTCTCATAATTACTCATGTAAGTCAACCAGTATATTTCAACACACTGCATGCACCTTTGATGGGTCGTCAACATTTTAACTTTGTGTATCAAAATTAGTTGTGGTGCGGACAATTTGTTTGGGTGGCTTTGGCATGAGTAGTTTACAGAGAACATATACACAAACATGTAATTTGTCTTACTGATTGATTTTTATAAGCACATCCCTTTTTTCCCATCTGAATTGGCAAATTCCATGTAAATTTAGTTTGTGTATGTGGTCCTCTGAATTGACTCTGCATCATGCAGGGGCTGTGTTCTATAGTGTCTAACTTACTTTTTTATGTGTACAGAATGATCATCGGAATGCAGCTGTGGTAGCAATGGCTAGATTCCAGCCACGGCCCCAAATGGCAGTATCAGCTCCTGGTCCTGTGCCTATGGCGCCTGTGAGCACAGCCAGCATGATGGTAGGACCTGGAATGATGCGACATGCTGTGGCATTAGGACATCCTATTCCTCATGCCCAAATGCTGCATGGAGGTAACATGAACATGATGCGACCGGGTCCCCCCATGGGGATTCATCCAGGTAAGCTACGTCTGATGTTGTTGTTGTCAGTAAGTAAAATACCAATGGATGCTATTTTCCTTATTATGAGGATAATGGTTCCATTTTTTTCATGGTTATGTGAAGATGAAAGGTTTTGAAGCATGAATTTTCAGTTTCATTCTTTCTCGTCATCACTCCCTCATATCCCAGGCTTTGTGCCTTTTTATCCCAGTTCAAACATGTTTAGTAAGGTAATCACTTGATCATTGTTCATTAGGTGCACTTATTCCCTCAACACAGAGGTTGTGAGACTACAAAGTTCGAAAGCACTAAATTTGTTTGTATGGTGCATTCCCAGTAGTAATGTCATATTTTTGTCTATTCTCTGGTGTGTGGCACGTGTTTTTCTTTAACTATAGGGATTGGTTGGTTTGTTCCAGTACTATGCAGAGGTGTCATGATGATTGGTTTGATTTCCCAATTTCTTTAAAATTGATTGGTTTTAGCTTTTGTGGGGCACGTTGTAAGCATGATAGCTTAGTTTGCAAAGTTGGCCATCATTTCTGTGATGACCTGTGCTTTCAAAGTCTAATGCAACACATCTAAGACATAACACTTCCTGGTCTAACCACAGGTTACCTTGTTTTTGATTACTGGTGTTAAAAATCTTTTAGAATTTCTTTCTATGTAGATAAAGTTGTTGCGTTTCTGAAACATAGTTTGTGTCACTACCCTCCACAAATTTGTTTGGTTTTACATTCCAGACCTAAGCAGTTGTTTTAATTGTTCTGGGCTTCACAAGAAAAAGTCTTGTTGCATGTTAAAAGTTGATTTTCGTTCTTTGTATCTATCAGCCTGGATAGAAATTTCTAAAGTTTGTGGTTTGGAGACACAAGAAACACTGCACTAACCAGCTAGGTAAATATGGCCTGGGAATTTTCCTGCAAATGGTGAGGTCTATATGCGTAATTAGTACCGTTGCCTTTTTTAGTGTCATTGAAATACATAGTTCTAATCCGGACATTGGTTATACATTCACACTATTGATCTGATGCCGCTGCGATCTCTGCATGTGAGAGCTGACACACTTGTCTTCTTTTGAGCAAAGCTTTGGAGGTTTTGTCTTCTACTTAATTTTCTGCAGAATCTGATGTCACAGCTTGCTTTCCTCATCTCAAGCTAGTCTCATCTGTTCTCTGTGGATCCTGACAGCTTTTTATTCCATTCTTAATTTGACTTAGGTTGTTTCAGAGATAGATAAGATTTTGCAATTTATCTGGTTCATTAACACTTATGATTTTCTACAGGACTTATTGGAGCAGCTGTACCCCAGGGTCCAAGTATGCAGCAGATGCAGCACATGCAGCATATGCAACAGATGCAACAAATGCAGCAACATATGCAGCAACCAATGCAACCTCACATGGCTATGCAACCACATATGCCTCATATGAATCCATATGGTGGTGGTCCTCCAATGGCCTTCCCTCCCATGCTTATGCATCCACGCTTCAGATGATCAGGTATCCCAGGGGCAATCCTGTTTCTTGGATTCAACCCCTGAATGCGAAATTAAACTAAAAGGGGGAATAACCAACTACCTGCCTTCAGTCAATGAAAATAGGTTGACATACTATACAATTTGTATCCAGTCAATTTAACATTGTTTGTTATAAATAATTTTTAACTTTACTTCTACACTTACTATAATGATTTTGAAAAGAATAGACTTTATCAACTCTGCGAATATTGGCAGAACTCTTACCTAATTGACATGTTAATTGCGTAAAAAAAATAGTTTTTCTTTGGAAGTACAAATGAATGAGTTAAGTATCTGCTATGAAATGGAAGATTCCCTTACGGGTTGCGTTAAGGTTCTTTATGAAGAGCACTAGCATTAGTACAGTTCTTAACTTTGACTTTTCTTCGTTACAAATGGAAAGTTTTACTTTCATGTCCGGATTGGCGTTCACCAGTTACAGCTGCGTGCCGTCTCACCAAGTCAGGTTTGAGAGAATGTTCTTTCCTGCTGGTCCTCAGATACGCACAGCTGTTTAAAGGGTGTTTGGACTTTGCTCTGTGATAAACCTTCAATCATCTCAGGTTAGCAAAATTCACTACTGAGGATAAATGGATGTACATTTCTTTGTTATTCTATTTTAAGTAAATCAGTATTTATTTCTCATTTGTGTAAAGCTGTTTGATATTCAATTTGTGATAAAGACATGATTTCCTTTCTAAAGAGCTCAACCTGCAGTTGGTTGAAATTTTATTATGGTGTCATAGAATGAGTGCATGCCGAACATTCTGGCGCTGTAGCACTCCTGCACCGCTTCTTCCCCTACTGAGTGATGTACCTGGCATTCTGCTAGTTATGTTAGATAATTTCATTTATATTTCTTCTACCTGGAAGAGGCGTTGCTTGTGTTGTATCTTTACTGTGGACCTTGCAGTAAATATTCTTTTTGTGTTTAACAGAGATGCCTGTAAGTCAGTGGAGACGCTTCTTAAGTTATCTAAGCACCAATAGTTGAAGAGGGATGATCTTTTTCCTATACAATCAGAAAGAAGGTTAGAACTCTATCTCAAAATAAGCAGACACACCCACACATACACATACACTAAACTTCACTGAGGAATGGAGGTGTGGTTGCAAAATTTCCTGTACAGTAAGTTTGTTTCTTCAATTTCGGGAACCATCTAAATTCAGGTGTTGGCATTTAGTAGCTGGGGATGCACAGCTCTTTCTGCTTGTGTGCTGTGCAGATCTTCATTTCTCTCTGCTATGAATGTTCAGTAGAAATATACTAGGGCTGAGTAAATGATTACAGTTTTCCTTTTCATTATTTATATTCACAGGGATTCACACATTTTTAAATCAAAATTTATAATTATCTATGTCTAATTGAGAACTTTACTGCCTGTCTATCATTTGCACAGCCCTTTGACAAAGACAGCTTGGTTGTTAACCGTGTGGCTATTTCTAGTAAAACTGTCATTTAAAGTGCAAGAGATTTAAAGTTCTTTCTGCAATTTAAAAGGTAAGGTAATCACTTTTTGCCGGATCAGATCACTCAATTTACTTCCTGTGAAGGTTTTCTTCAACAGGTAAGAGCCAATTTGCTTTTCCAAATCTAAATGCTGTCTTTAGTGAAATTTATCCTGTTCTGCAAAGACACTTCTACTTTCTGTTGTTGCAATGGTCTTTAATCCCATATGCATCAAAAGTACTCTTTCTATCAGCAGTTGATATTGTGAAACTTGTCTTTTTGAAATGGTGAAAACCCAATTCATTATGCGTTAAGTGTAACACATGTGTGAAGGGCTTTGTGAAGCAAATTATTCACAACCCCTCTTTTCTACCATCGGCTTTTATTTTCATTCTAATTGCAAGAGGTTTACTGTGAAATACCTCTTTTGTAGTTACATTTTCTGTATCAATAAATAGGTACCTATTTGATCTGATATGTGTTCCAATTTAGTTTGCATGAAGTGGCGCCTTTAATTTGTGGTGGAGGGAAAATTTTCTTTATCTCAGTTCTCCTCTGATGTCAACATTGAAGGCCTCTCCAAAACTGAATTTGTAAGTGACTTTAGCTTATGGGCTCTTCCTGTGTTTCATTTATTGAGTGATGAGCAAGTACTTTCAAATTTGCGTAGGATTCAAAATGTCAGAATCTGGATTATTTCTGCTGGCTATCAGGAAAAGTATGTATCTTAAAAGACATTACTCTGCAAAATGTGTTCAGCATCTGTCATTTTCAAGGGAAAGTGATAAACTTACTTTTTATGTTTTGCTGATAGTGTCTCCCTGTTAATTTTTAAGATGAAGCGCTAGGTTTCTCTGGTTGTAAACGCAGGTAAGCTGTTTCCATTTTTTGCTAGATATTTGGCACTGTGATGCTAGCTCACATCTGACAGGGTAATTGTATGTACCTTGGATTCAGAAATAAGTACTTTGTATTTATTTATTGCAATTTTAGGGACTGTGATGTGTTGCCAACATTCAAGGAATTCCCTCTGGAATGTGCAATTATTGTGTGAGTCTTCTCACAATAAATCAATACACAAAATTACTACATTAATCTAACTTAACGAGTTTGCTTCCTTTCTGGAATTTCCATTCTGTATTAACTGTTTTATGTGGGCATTGCATCTCAGTCATGAAGCACATTTGGAGCTGTGAAGTGCTCACATTAACTGTGTTATTTGTCATACAAAGGAAAACAATTGTTTCGGATTCAACAACTATGACTTGAGTGTGGGTTCTTCACAGCACATGCTTTTAGTTCTCTTTACAGCAAGATTACATCAACCATTTTGTGTGTTCTGTGAGTACATTTCTTTTCTGTATAGGTTTTTATTAAACAAAATTGTGCAGTCCAAATTCTAAAGCGTAAAAATATTACTGTTCAAATTAATGCATGCACAGATTTAGTAAGTCAAGTTGCAGATGTAAAATTTTCAATACGTTTCGATTGGTATAAGTTTGGCGGTTTTGCCGATTTAATTTTTGGTGATTTACTACCATGCTTGGGATGATGGTTAGCAAATTAAAGCTCTGCTGTGGACCCAGCGAAAAAGGTAGTAGCAACAATCACAGCAATGGTTTTACCAATGCTGTTGGACCAATTGGTTCCCTGTTCTCAACAGGCGATTGTCCAATTTCTGTTCTTACCCTTAATTGTGATTGTGATGGATTCAATGAAAGACAAGTCAGTCCCCTGTCTATTGGAAGACAGGTGATTATCTTGAGACCAATCACAGCCTTACGCTGTTGGATCAATGCTTACTGGTCCCCTGTGCATCAGGTGATTGAGCCTCACTTAGAGATCACAGCTGTTTTCTGCTGTTGGACTGGCTGTCATCTATGCCGGCTGTCTGGTGGAATATTCCCATAAATTGACAATCTTTATGTTTGTCTTTTTATTGGACTATCACTGCTCAACAGGAACATAGAATATCTGTAAGAACTTGCCTCAACTCCCTTGCATTGAAATTAAGTCATGGTCTGTGAATTGTCATGTCACTTTTGTAGCTCTTGCTTTCGTTTGTAATGTATAGTGTGGATTGTTCAGTTTTCATCCAAAATAAACTCATTGAAAAAAAGAAAGCTATATTATTAATCTGTTGCCTAATTTTTCACTATCAAAGAACACTGGTTTTCAAGAGAATTTGTCGGTATAGAAAATTTATTGGACAAACAAATCATACATTAGGAGGGTAAGAGGGTATTTAATTTTGTACCTTCATGAAAGCAACATGTGGCATTTAAAATTCAAAGCGGTGCAAAATGTACTTTGCCCAACACTCAAGCACAAAGTATTGAAAGAATACATATATTAGCTAAGTTACTCTACATTATTTCAAATACTGATAATTTTATATTTGATAAGCTACTTGTTATCCTCAAGATTGAAATAGCCACAATCTCTTATTCTAGATTTAAGTACACAGTTCCACCAATCACAAATGACATTTACAGTAGTACAAAAAGAAAACTTATACATTAAAACTTGATAGTTAAGAAATAAATGATTCTACTGGACAACAAAATACACAATACATTTTATAACTGAACATCTATATTACAGCAGGTGATTCAGGTAAAATGTGAAAATATCGTTTTCTAAGCATATCACAGATCTCGGTAATAATTAATAAATAACTTTACGCTTTGTGGCAGTGGTAATTGCTGAATTTTAGCACGCATTAGTTTAACATATTCCTTTGTGTTCACTTGCTTGTGGTCTTGTGCTGGTTTTACCCTTTTCTTGCCCTTTCCATGAAAAACTTTCCTGTCAGGCTTATCAATTTTATTACCCTCTTCTTCCGAATCAGAGTCAGATTCAAAATCCATGTCAGACCCTAAGTCAGAGGGAGATATATCAGAATTATTCATATCCCCTGAGCTGTTCAAGGATGAATCTGGAGATATATCCCAATTTTTGTCAAGAATATCATCAACTATGCCACTATCCACTTTCTCTCTTTTGGCTCCCTTTTTTATACTAGAATTACTTTCTTTTAATTCACTAGCACTTGAACTGCTACTGCTTGCTTGAGAAGATCTCACACAATGAGACGGATCATCATTTTCCTCTAATTCAGCCTCCTTGCGTTTATTAGGCATCCTTTTTGGTCTCCCTTCACCCTCCTTGTTTTGGGGAGAGGCAGTTTCAGTTTCTGGCTGAGCCTCAATTTGATCCACATCCATTGAATCTGCACTTAAATCTGAATTTTCAATATTATCAGAAGCATCTAATTGGGACACAGATGCCAAAGCAGGGAATATTGCATCTAGAGGATGTACAGATATACCACGGCTATTATCAGCTGCCATAGCTTGATAAATTGCCCGTTGCACTTGACAAATACTCGCTAGACTACTACTAGTGCTAGAATCATCACTGTCGGAGGAGGATCTAGGTTCTCGACGAACACGTATACGATATCGAGAAATATCTCTGCTAGGGGTAGGTGATATGTTTACATTATCCCTTAATGGCCTGTCTGAACCGGCTAGGTCTGGATTATCACCTTCAGCCCTCGACATACTATCGTCCCGGTGGTTTAAGCCAGTTATAACTATATTTTCTGACTCTCCCAACATAGGAATAAATAAACGTTGAAGAGTTCGATTCCTCTTTGTTTTGTTTTTTGAGCGGAATTTAAGCTCAGGATGCTCATGATCAACGGCAGATTGTAAAATACTTCTTATGGCTGTACGACATGCATCCATCAAGGGAATGGGTTCAACTTTAGCTATAACGGGAAAAAACAAGTGGATGAATATTCAAAGTTTTGATAGAGAAATAAAACAATACATGAAGAACAAGAAAAGTAAACTGGTACTAAAAATTTGCTACTTACGTAAAATAACAGTGTGTGACGCTGATACCCCAATTAAATTGGCAAAAGCAACAGGCAATATTGACCTTTTCTCCCAAACCGTTTCTGACACTCGAGTTATTTTAAGCAAACGATCATTTAGAGGTACAACAAGTATACCTCCAACCTGGTGCACAGAATTTGAAGATAAATAGCTGCTATGGCATAATTTTAGAAAATTATAATTGTCTGATGTCTTACCTTCAGTAAATTATTCATGTACGACTCAGAAGACAAAGGACAAGCAGCACCGCAGTACACTCGGTCATACTTCATAGAACAAGAGTCCAACTGCAAACAATTGCCTGAAAAAAAATTGTAACAATAAATATGTTTGATTTACAAATAGATAATAATTGGTTTCTGTTCTCACTACCTCAAAGATAAAACATTAAAAAGATAGATGAACAAATTGTATTGAGTTACCTTCAACAAACTTGGGCTCGCAAAAGTCAAATTCATCCATTGCAGCTGATGTTTTTTTGAATTCCTCTAATTTCTCTAGAGCATAATTTATCACATCACGGTGAATCTCAACTCCATGGTTTATGCCAAAGGATCCTGATGAAGGGATTGTTTTCCAAAGCTTATTAATAATTTAAAATACTTGATGAAGATTACAACTAGATTCATTAGCTTACCTAAAATGAGCCCTGCCATTGTACTAAGATAGCCTGTGCCTGAACCAAGGTTCAAGAAGCTCATTCCTGGTCCAAGATTAAGATTTTCCATGACCTCAGAGTATATGCAAGGTGCTGACAAATGGATGTTCCCACTCTTCCATGCCAAGTCTTTATAAGCGCTGTCACGGCCTAATGGTGTAAAGTACATGGCACGGTCCACAGCCCGAAATACTCGCTCCACAATAGGTGTTTTAATGTAGTTTGCAACATATAAATTGTCCACCAGATCATCATTATCAACACCAGTGCTCACAGATCCACCCATGTTTTTGCTGAGCTTAAGCCCTGTAGTTATATTAGCATCTCAATCATAAAAAGCTGTAACAAAGAATTCAGCTAAGTCAATAAAATTGACAAATTTCACAGGTTAAAAATAAACGCATTAAAATTTTCTGTAATCAGAGTAATCATTCTTTGCCCTAGGGATAATTAATTCAGGCTGTGAACAATGAAGGCCTCATGACCTCAAAAAGAGAATGACTCAGAATAAGATTGGCCTGCCAAACAGTTAAAGGGGGTGAAGGTTCTCTGCAAAGCAGAGCGTGTGCCTGAATGTAATTAACTCACAGAATGAGCTTCACTGCATCTGGGAATCAGCTAAGGTTTTATGAATGATATTTGTAGTTTGATTGGAAATGAGTCAGTAGTTGTCTGTGTTCTGTATTTGAATAAGACAATGAGGAAACCAGTCAGGAAAGGGAAGTCCAATGGACGGTCAGGGTAATTAGAGGTAATTACCAGGGTTAAATAATCTGCATAATTAGTCACGGCAGTTGTATATTACATTGTCACCAGCATGGATTTTGTAACTTCTTTTATGTCCACTAATAATTTAAAATAAAATTATAAAACACATTAATTATTTGTCTGGTGGATGAATAATCGACACAAGGAGCAGCTATACGGACCATTTCGGGTCCAATGCACGACGCCTTTAGGCATTCGTCTAGGCCTATCTACCCTGATGCCCGTCCGCGTCAACAGCGGCCGGGACTTGCTTGGGAAAGAGAGAGCTGAATGGCAAGTCTAAAATAACGACATGATAACAAATTTTTAAAAATTGGTGTCGAAATACTTGCTGTTCACCACTGAGAGGACACTCAAGCAAAACAGTCCGGAGGGAGGTAAGCAGCGGGGTGGAGAAAAGTCACCCGTGTCAGTCGTTTTCCGCAGCTCTACCGAGTAGGTAACACTAGCTACTAGCTTTAAGAAGGGTCGCAATATAGACTCCAAACAAATACCTACCACAGAAAACAGGATTCAGTGAGTTCACCTGAAACACCGATACAGCAAAATATCCTTCCTCAAGAGTATCAATATTGACACCAAGACACCAATACGACGGGTCCCGCAGCAGCCAGGCTCGCGACCCTCGCGACTCGCGATCAGCTGGCAAACAAAACAATGCCACCGCGAGCCGAGGAAGCGTCTGCTGGGCCGCCCTCTGATATCCAAGCGCGCAATGGGACGGCGACCAGGAAATACTCTACAGAGCTGCAAGAAGAGAACAGTTCAAACATCGAGCAGCTAGCGCCTTGATTCCTTGATTTCATCTAGGATCTGACACTAGATTCGTTCGCCGACCCCAATCTGACCCCGATCCCAGACCTTTGAAACTAGCACAGCACTAGGGTGGTGCGGGTGCTGCCCGTAAGGGGCGCTCCATCTCCCACAGCCAGATCAGTTCAACAACAAGGCATGGCGCAGGCCACCACCATAAGTCAAAGCGCCATTTTTTGAGTTTTCCACGCGAAGTGGGAGTTAAATGTTCTGTTCGCGTCGTCCATGCTCTTTTCCTGTGGCACGAGGAAAACAGCGCTATGCCGCTCGAACACGGGTAGCGTTTCGTTCGACTGGGAAATGCGTTTAAGTCGGGTGTTTCGGCCGCGTGCTTCAGCGGCAACCAACCACCAAACGCACCTGTGAATATCGGTCGCAGCGAGCGACAACGAGCATGTCCAATGCAGGGAATGCCATTCCCTCGACCAGGTCGACGCTGCAAGGCAAAGTGATTCAGAGTCAGTCGAGGGAAATCGTGGCAAATGTGTTCGCCTTCATGAAAAGGGAGGCCGAGTTTGGACAGCAGATCCCCTTGCGGTGCGTGACGAAACGCGTGATTGCCGCCACGGGCGTCTCGGAAAGAAGCATCCGACGTATTCAGCGTGAGGCCGAAGTCGTGTACTCGGGCCTAGTACCGTCATTCGTCTCGCCGCGGACAGGCCCAGGCAACTGCCTGTTAAATCTCAGATCCTTATATCGCGTGACGTCACACGCGTACCCGATTGCTGCCAACCTAAATCGATGTCCGGAGGGAAATGCGGAGGGAAATATACGTCGGGTACCTTTTATGCTTGCCAATAGACCGCTGGTATTTGAATGTGTTATGTGTTATCAGATGTGGATGATAAATACGAAACATACAACGGAGACGATCGGGGAAAATATTGCTAGCCGATCTTTTACGTTTGCTCAGAAAGAAAATTTAATTCACAAGAAAAATAATAATTTACATATTTTTCAACATCAAACATCTTTATAAAATGCTGAACTGTCACCATGTTCATCAACGAAGTAGGGGGCCCAGTGGGTGCTGTAAACAGACAAAACAGGAGTCATATGAAATTGGTCGTTACAATAGAGATCAAACATTCAGGAATCATATCCTTATATACATTCAGGAATATGCCTTCTAGGTGAGTTGAGGGGTTGGAGCAGGCAGAAGTAGCCCGCAGGAGTGCATGAGGGCTATAGTAGATTCTGACCGCAAGTGTCTGGGCTAAAACAACATAAAAAAATAAGATCAATTTCAAGTAAACAAATTAAATTGGGATTGGTGAAACAAAATTCTCAGGTGCTGTAACATGTTATCCAAAGAAGTTCTTGTGACGCAGAGGCATGTTTAGTAGCACAAAGCCATACTTGTAAATTTTAAGAAGCTAGTTGTATGTATGTATGATGTAAACTTAACTGATCTGTAAACGAAATTTGACACCAAACTAAACAACATGCATTCCTCTTCTTATTCTGCTCCTCATCTAGAACTGCATTAACAACATGTTTGCCTGGAAATAAAATCATAATAAAGAACGTTATCTGACTTATATTTTCGCCTAGGTTGTTGTTACTTCATTGCATGAGGACAAATAAATTCAGCGAGGAGACATACAAACCTGGACAGAGTGTGAAAGTTGAAATTTGCAGGATTCGTTGACACTTGTGATAGTTGCTGACTTAATTAAAGGCTGCTCAGCTCAGAGAAGTTCATTGGCTAATGTCACAACTGCATCAGCACTCTCTATATGATGCTATTCCTTGCCACTCTACAATACTTCTTTATTGTTCCCTCAAGAAATATGCATGTCTATCTTTTGGAAACAAACTTCGGACTGTGATTCCACACAGTTTTGAAAGAAGGCTACAACTATAAAAAGTTATAAGTAATTGAAAAATAAAAAACACAACAGGAACATTACTGTTGAATGTAAACAATTTCCAGTGGGATAAAAACGATTTCATACAACAGGAATACTGACACAACTGAAGAAGAGAAGGAGAGTGCTGGGTGATTTGTCTGAGAAGGTTAAGAATCGGGCCAAGGAAATTTTCGTAAGAATTTGATAATGGACAATCCATTCTTCTGATAAGATACATAATGTCAACTCTCTAGAGCTCATGGGTGGTCTTTCGGCAGTGTGACAAGTCAAATAATTTCAGAAAATCGAAGGAAATCAGGTTCATGCAAAGCCGATAGCAGAACACTTTTCAAAACATATGGTCTCCATTGGATGCGCAGTGTTGTCTTTCCCCTCCTGCTAGCACTGAAATTTGTGTTTTTCTATTAAATGTCATACTCCTTATTAAAACCTTAGGATTTATTTTACCAACAAGTGTTACATTTTAAGTGGTTTAAAATTAAAATTCTTCCTTTCAAAAGACCGTAAGTAGTCTAACAGATGTGTATTTCGGTTCAAAGTTTTGATGTGCAATGTTGGCGGCAATCGGGTACGCGAGCTTTAGCCGACCGGAACCAGTATACCCAGTTGCCTGGGCCTG